GAAAACCCCACAAAGCTCTCATGGCTTTTATTCAGGGAGTACAGCAAATAACAACGGAGTACAGCAAGTGACAATGATTAACAAGCATCCTTATGAGATCATCTGAGCTAAGTTATCCATTACACTATTAATTTCCTATATTATACAAAGACTCTTTCCACCTGCAGCAGTGCACCCTCCCTTGAACTTTCCATGCCCTCATGGACTATTTATCACCTCAAGGAAAGTTCTGCCTCTAAACAATAAGTCTTGCTTGCAAGCCTTTGTTCTGACATGGCCTGCTTGCAGGCTCCTGTCTTTTTTGGCAGAACATCCTCTTCTAGTTAACTTCTCATTCCACTTGTCCAGCTACAAAGTCAGACCAAAATATGTCACATCTAAACGACACAGGGCTAATTTTCCTAATATGCAAAGACCTCTTACAAAAAAGTAAGAAAAATATAAACAAGCCAATAGAAAAATTGGCTAAGGATTTAAATAGGCATTTATAGAATACAAATATTAACAGACAAAAATGGTGCCCAGTATTTTTATAAGAAAATCTGGTAAGTCAGATTCTATGTGAAATATGCAGAGTCTTAAAGAGTTGCTATTATTTTAAATTACAAAAAACTAACAAACAAAAACTATGTGGGGCTTGTCTGCCACGTCTGGTTAAAGATGTGAAAGGTCCCTGTGGATCAGCAGGTTGATCGATCCATCCAGCCTTGACCCATTCCGGCCCTGCAAAGCATAACCCATTCCAGTATAACAAAATAGTTTTTGTCTTTCACCATGTTTTTAGTTTAAATAATTGATAGGTTAATGTATTTGATCAAGTTAACCAAATATTGAGGTGTTGGCTTTCTTTTTTTTCAAAGTAGTTCAGAAAATAGGGAGGAGAGAAGGGGAAGAGGAATATAAACACTAAGATTTCCTGAGCAACTGACTTCTGAGAAGAGTCTGACAACACGAATGGGCCCATTCAGCGCCCCAGCTCAGCAGGTGATGTGTTCAGTGGGCAAAGCATCCCATGCTGCTTGGAGGCTGTGTTCACGTGACTCTGGAATGAGTGGCAGGGAGTGGAGAGCCCAGCACTGTTAGGGCAACACCATCGCCAGCGTGCATCTTGGTGTCCTCAGAACGGGTGCCAGGAGTAGCTCCGCACACGTGTGTCACCAGGGCTCCTCTCCCATGTGGATTCTTCTGGGTCCCAGATGTGAGCTGTAACTGAGGTCTTCCCACCCTCCTCACACTCTAGGGCCTGAGCTCAGGCTGACGCATTTCCCCCAGTCGATACTCTGGTGTGCCTTGTTCCCTGTGCAGGTCCTCTGGTGTCGGATGTGGCTGAGCTGTCATGAAAAGCTTTGCCACACTCACCATCTGGAAAGGCATTTCACCAGTGCAGGTCCATGGATGTGTGAATTGTGATAAAGGCTTTCTGCACTCCTCACACTGATACAGTTTTAACCTATAAAACAGGCTACGTATTCTCTGACGGTCAATACGTTGTGGGCTTCTGCATTAAAATTGCCACAGACGTTACATGAACAGTGTCTCTCTCCAGTGTGAATTCTCTTTTGTCTAATGAGGCTCGAGTTCAGAGTGAATCTTTTCTCATGTTCATCACACTTATACCTTCTCTCACTTGAAGTGCTTCTCTGATGTCTTTCTGTCCATCCTTCTGGTTCTTGGGTGTCTCCACATCCAGGACCCTCTCCGTTGGTCGGGCCAGATAACTTTTCTTGGGATTCCATATCTACAGTAAGATCTTGCTTTTAAATCAATTCTCCTTTCTTATTTCTGATCCTATCATCTGAAATAAAAAGTATAGCATTCTAATGTAACTGAAATATACAGGAACATTATTATGCTACTAGTAGCCTGGTGCACAAAAATTTGTGCACCCAGGGGTGAGGGTGAGGGGTGGGGCCAGACCCCTCAGCCCGACCTGCACCCTCTGTCATGTTCCAGGATCCCGGCCACTCCTGGCCTAGCCACAGGCCTACAAGCTTGGGCGGCCTGGCTCCCGAGGCCCCATTTTATCAAGAGAACTAAGTCGGCGTTAGTTACAGCCCTCACAGAACCCAGTACCCTGCATCTGTGCATACAACTGCCTCGTTCATGTGCCTGCTTCGCCCTACTGAAGTACTAATATCTTGAGGACATAGCTCCGTCTTATCCTGCTTCAACTTCAGTGCCTGGCCTGGTGCCAGGGACCTGAGAGGGTTTGCTGAGTGAGTGAATAATGAGTGAGTGAATGAGCAAGCAGCTAAGGAGCGGGAATTTCTGCCACATTGCCATGGCAACAGGCAGAAGTTCCGGCCTCACTCCGGGCTCCCTGAAGCCCACCCCGGGAAAGTTCCCCCCTGTTCCCAGCAGCCTGGGGCCCCTCTCCTGGCTGCATACTGAGTTACTGACATCTTGAGGACATAGCCCTGTCTTATCCTGCTTCACCTTCACTGCCTGGCCTGGTGCCAGGGACCTGAGAGGGTTTGCTGAGTGAGTGACTAATGAGTGAGCGAATGAGCGAATGAGTGAGCGAGTACGTGAATGAGCAAGCAGCTGCCCCCCGGGATAGTTTGCACTCTGCTCTGGGCTGCCTGACACAAACCCCGGGAAGTTCCCGCCCTGCTCCCAGCGGCCCCTCTCCCCTCTCCCTTCTCCCGGCTGCATAGTTCATGCAGGGCAAAGGCTGCCCGGGTGTAAGTTTGGGCAGATCGGTGCATTAGCACCAATCAGCCGGGGATCCCCGCGGGAGGGCCGTTTGTGGGTGTGGCCAGTGGCAGATCGGGGTATTAGCACCTGTCAGCTGGGGATCCCCCGAGGGCCATTTGTGGGTGTGGCCGGTCCCACTGCCAGCCCTGGGTCTGTTCCCATATGGGCCGCCTGCCGCCAGGGTCGCAATACCAGGCCCGGATGGCAGCAGGGCAGGCGGGATGGCACTGTCCTGCCCTGCCTTCAGTATGCAAACTAGCCGCCATCTTTGTTGGCAGTTAATTTGCATATTGCCCTGATTAGCCAATGGGAATCGTATTGGAGGTATGGTTAATTACTATGCTTGTCTATTATTAGATAGGATTATGTTATATTATACTACATTACATTATAGTATAACTAGAGGCCCATGCATGGGTAGGGTTCCTAGGCCTGACCAATGATCAGGGACAATCAGGTTCCCCTGCCTCCCCACCTGCCTGCCTACTCCTTCCCTAGCTCCCTCAGCACCACGCTGCTGCAGCTGGTCGCCTGCCATGTTCCATGCCACCCCCTGGAGGTGAGTGTACGTCACAAGCAGCAATCCCACTCCAATTCTCCCGATCGAACTCCCAAGGGGACACTTTGCATATTAGCCTTTTATACATATAGGTTATATATAGATATAGATATAGATATGGATACACATACTAGAAATACACAACTTACATATTCCAACAAAATGGTTTGACAATGTTTGAAGAGAAAATTAGAAGATGGCAAATGACAGGACTGGCTGGTGTGATTCCAGAGAAGGGTGCATAAAAGTAAGGAACAAGAGTGACCTGAAGCCCTGACCAGTTTGGCTCAGTGGATAGAGCGTTGGCCTGCGGAGTGAAGGGTCCCGGGTTCAATTCCCGTCAAGGGCATGTACCTTGGTTGCGGGCACATCCCCAGTGGGAGGTGTGCAGGAGGCAGCTGGTCGATGTTTCTCTCTCATCGATGTTTCCAGCTCTCTATCCCTCTCCCTTCCTCTCTGTAAAAAATCAATAAAATGTATTTTTTTTTTTAAAAAAAGAGTGACCTGAAGAACAAGCGTAGCAACAAATAGAATAAAGATCTGAGAATGGGCTCATCAGGAAGGCCAGACATTGAGTGGAGAGGAATGAAGAACAGAACTATGGGAAGAGGGAAATGACAGTGTAAGGACCAAGCTTGAAACATAAAACAACTGCTACCTCATGGGGACAGACGGACATCACTATTCTTGCAAAGGTGACACTGGGAACCTGTCAAGCCTGAAGCTACACTGTAGTTCACTGACGACTTCCCAGAACAGATCCTTCACCAGACCTGACACTCCCATCTGTCCTCACCCCAGAATTCCTATGCCTGAGTTTCCTAGAGGGTCCTCTGGGCAGAATCCCAACACCCTAGGGTAAGACATGTGGCCACTTCCTCAATGGTCAGTAGTTTCTGAAAAAAAAGTGAAACTGCCCCACTCAAGGATATGTCCCCTGAAGGAATCTCATTTTAAGACCAAGAGTGAAGGGCAGAATTTGCAACCATGTAGGAATAATACAAGGAAAAGTGGTATGCTTTGTGTCAATTAGAGACATTAAAATAAAAGAAAAAAGGAAAAGACAGCCAGGGGGATGACTGAAGAATGAGGGCACAGCAGAGTCAGAACTTACCTAGGCACAGGGGTCAGGGACTCGAACTGGAGAGTGTCATGAAAGACACAATCACAGGCCACCAGGGTCTTGGGCTGCTATCCGTAAAGGGCAGAGACCCAAGACCAGGCCAAGAAGGAAGGTTGTCAAAAGGAGATGAGCTCGCTCTGTCAGTGTACTCAGTGGTTAGAGCATTGGACCACTCACCAAAGGGTCTTGGGTTCACTTCCTGGTCAAGGGCACATACCTGAGTTGTAGGTACATTCCGGAGGCAACCAATTGGTGTGTCTCTCACATCAATGTTTCTCTCTCTATATCCCCCTTCTACTCTCTCAAAAATCAATGGAAAAATATCCTCTGGTGGGGATTAACAAGACAAAATAAAAGAAAAAGAGGAGATGAGCTTTCCTTGGGGCCCCTTCAGGGACAGGCCCTGCAATCATTTCCTCACCAAACCAGCTTGCCACACTGGTTAAAAATCCTCATGTTTACTGGTTGTATAAGGCTTCAGGGCACTTTAAACTTCAATTTATGTTTTAGCTACCTTACATATGTCCGAGTGAAGAAAATTAAAGCAAATTACACAAAGATACACGTGTATGCAAAAACTAGTCTTTTAGAGCCATGAGCAAATAACAAATGACTCCTGTAGATGGGACCCAAAGAGCATCGCAAACAGAACTAAACCCCCATCAGCATGAGAAGCAGACGTATGCATTATTACAAAAAAGCACAGAACATAAACTCAATTTCTAACTACTAAAAAAGATTGGGAAAATAGTGCCCTTCTAGTCGGATGGTAGTGAGTTCATGCTCAGCTCCAAATACAAAGAGTGAGAGATAAAAAGTTAATCTAAAAGCTTATCTCTGCAGACGAAAGGACAAACCGCGCAACCGTGGCCACTTGACAACAGAGGACAGCGGAGGACCAAGTGCTCCACAAGGAGGACGGGCCCCAGCTCACGTGTGATCCTAGGAATAAGTCAAGATAAAGAACATGAAGCCGCTTCTAAATGTTGCCTTCCACTAGTTTATATCTTCCAAATAATAAAACATAGTGAGTTAACCAGTCAGACTATAACACCTTCCCCATTTACCCGGAATGCAAACCGAACTGGCACATCATCGAACAGAACCACCAGTAGTCCCGGATTCAAGAAGATTTGGCCGTCTGTGTCCTGTAAGCCACACGGACCTGACAGACCGCAAAGTGTGCAGGAGTTGGCGCGGCGCATACAGCGCGGACTGAACAAGGAGGGGACACCCACATGCGGCGATGTGGAGCCGGGACACG